TTCCATAGTCTATCGTCATAATTTTATACATTATATATCACTTTTTAGTTTAAAGTGAGACTAAAGTGAAGGGGTAGGAGGGGCAGGGTCTGGAGGTATAAGGAACAGTGTGATTGGTCAAACAAGTTTCCACACAGCCTGGTGTTTGAATCAGAAACTCCTGGCTGTAATCAGGGCAGTCCTGTGTGATGTCACGTAGTACTTGAGATTGCCCTAATTGCCAAGAAAAAAAAAAAAGGAATAGGAACAGTAGATAACAGTATATAGTAGGGAAAAAAAGCTGATTTAGTGTTTAGTTCCACTTAAGGAAACAAAAGATATATTCATAAGAAAGTATTTCAAAGCACAATGTTTGGCTCCTTTGAAATTGCACTGTGAAACTTTATGGCTTCTTGTTTCTATGGAGATGTCATTGCTCTGCCTTAAATGTTCCACAGTGTGACATTAAACAGCTGTACCTTACTTTTACTCAAATACAGGTGGTGTTATAGCTCAAAATTACCTAGAAAAACAGGCATTCTGAGTGTGAGCGGGGTCGCCTCTCCACAGATCTGACCTGTAACTTAGTCTGGTTTGATCTCTGTGGTGATAGAAAGGTTTAATACCATACTGTGAAACATTCCAGACAAAGCAATAACATCTCCACGGAGAAAAGCACCTTACAATGCACCTTTTAAATGTTCATTATCCACTAAACTTTGACTTTGTGTTGCAGTCGTCGCATATATTCTTTAAAAATGTCAAATCTCACATAAAGTTCTGTGAAAAGGTCAAAGTTGAGGAATGTCTCAGTAGGAGTAAACCATTGTGCGGTGAGTCGAAACACTCCCTTTTTAATAAGAACACGGTGACTCGGTTCACTGGATTCACAAACTTCCCAAGGCCCTGAAAACGTTAGCTTTTCAAAGAACCATTTTATTAGTGTTTCTCGGCGTTCTAACGTTGCTCACACAGATGTTGCTATTGTTGGAGTCTGGGCAGTGAGAGTCTGCTGTCAAACTCACTAAAAATCCTTTCAGAATCTAAAAAAATAATAGTAATAATAATAATAATAGTCTGAATTTGGTCAGATCTAATGCTGCAGCCAATCTCGCCGTGGGTCTGCAGTAGAGCTGAGAATCACAGGGTCTACGATACGATATTATCACGATATGACGATACATATTTTGCACATGCTGTATTACTCTTTTTTTAAGAAACAAATACATTTTAACAACAGTGTTTTTTGTGTTAAAGTTCCCATATTACACTATTTTCTGATCTATGTTTTAATGTTGTTTCCTCGTCACAAACAGACCAGGAGTTGTGTTTTGTTTCATTCACATGTTTATCACAGAACTTTTGCGTATTTAAGCTGAGTTTTTCTCTCAAATGGAAAACACTGTTCCACCTTGTGATGTCAGTGGTAATATAGGAAGTGCTCTACTGTGTTTTTAAACTCAATTCACCTTCACTAGAATTTCAACCATAGCTCCAGTCTGTAACTTGTAACCAATTTTTTAAATAAATTTTACTTGCATATACTGTAAGTCCTCATATTTGATGATGTCCGTGTTATAGTTCAGGGCATTTGTGTCATCCAATGTGACAGAAACCATGTCTAATACTGCAGCAGTATCAGCTCCTCTCCTGCTTGGTTCGCCACCTTATATGATGCTAACAGAACTCGCTGGTTTACTAAAGTAGCATTCATAAAGTCAGATGATTGTTGGCAATGTTCGGCACGTTTTTGCTGAAAAAACTCAAGCGTCTTATCAGTGATTAGGGTGTAATGTCTTTAAATGACGTGGTAATTTATTTTGCTTCATGCTGTTTGCTGCCAACATTTCTAGACACAGTAAACACAGCGGTCTTTCCTCGTTTCCCACCGTACACACCGTCACAGTGAAGCTGAGCGCTGCATACGCTTTATATACAGTTTGTTCACTGCACTTCATATCTCCTGTTCTGTGTTGATAGTTGGGTATCGCTCTACTATTTGATAAGGACTGTCTTAAAGTAACTGTTTGGGACGTTTTGGACATGTTGACCTAAGTGAAAACCTCATTAAAGGGGCTTTTTTTTGAAAAACAATTTTCATAAATTATTCAAGACTTGTATGTTTTCCAGAACAATCATATATGTGGAGTTATTGTTTTTAAGTCATTGGTTAATATGAATCCTTTTAGTGTTTAGTTTCCTGGTGCTTAAATTAAGAGTTTAAAGGTCCGATATTACACGAAATCGACTCCTGTGAGCTTTAAGCCTTGTTATAGTGTTGTTACCTCCTCAAAAACATACCTGGAGTTGTGTTTGTTTGCGTAACCCTTTATGATCTAGTCTGTGTGCATCTCCAAAGCTTAAAATGATCAGCCTTGTGATGTCATGAAGCGGTAGTTTTCAAGTTAACACTGACCTTTTACCTTTTATTCAGTAAAGATTGGCAATTCCAGTGCTGAAATCATCCAAATGATTCTAATGAAGGTGTATGGAGTAAAAAAACACATCGGAGCACTTCCTGTATTGCCACATGACATCACAAGGTGGAATAGAATATTTTCCAGAAGAACTCAGCCTAAATATGCAGGATTTGTGTGTTAAACATGTGTGAATGAAACAAAACACAACTCCAGATGTGTTTGTGTTGAGGAAACATTATAACAGATCAGAAATAGCTTAACATGGACTATTAAAAAAGTCGATACAACAATGGCACTAGTATATATGTATGTTTGAATGAAAGATTTGTGTTTGTCTATGAAACAAAAGCACTATATCTGTCTCTGCGGAGTTGAATACCTGGAAACTACAGTACACCCACCAGTCAGTCTCATACACACATATATACACTCGCACTGTCATCCTCATTGTGTTTCTATTCAAGGAAATGGCCGTCTGTCTGCGCGGTATCTGATATAGATTTCTATAAGGTCAAGTCAATGGCGAATACATTGTCTTCGGGTACAATAGAATCTACTATCGATCAAAGGAATTAGGTAGAGATAGATTAATTAAAGTAACTGATGGGAATGTTTCGCAGTGTGGCATTAAAGAGCTCATATTATGCTATTTTCTGATCTGTTATAATGTTGTTTCCTCAGCACAAACAGACCTGGAGTTGTGTTTTGTTTTATTTACACATTTATTTACACACACAGACCTTGTATATTTAGGCCGAGTTCTTCTCTCAAACTGAAAACACTCTGTTCCACCTTGTGATGTCATGTGGTAATACAGAAAGTGCTCCACTGTGTTTTTAAACTCCATACATCTTCAGTAGTAAGGCTGCGCAATTAATTGAATTTTGATTTGTGTGTCAAACGATCTCCAAACTCATTTAATCGAGTTGAAACAATAAAGACTAACAAAGTTTATTTTGGGATATTTTTTATATAAATAAGTATATTTATTTAATTTTTAAATATAGAGATTGTAGAACAGCTGGATATACAGTTTATTTTGGATACATTTATGTTTTTCTGTGCCTTATTTCATGTTGAAAGTATATTTTATTCATTTTATGTCTCATACATCGCAAAACTGCTCTAAGATACATAGTTGTAGCCTATATTAATTTTCAGTTTGAAAGTTTTGCATAAATTATCAATAACAAAGTGTGTTTTTTGGGGGGGGGTTGAGAGAGAGAAATGCTGAATAAATGCATCGTGTAACAAATAAAATAATCGTCTGAATAATCGTGATTTCAATATTGACCAAAATTATCGTGTTAATGATTTTTTCCATAAACGAGCAGCTCTACTCAATAGAATCATTTGGATAATTTCACCTTGGAATTGTCAATCTCTACTAAACTAAAGGTAAAAAGAGCTGTTAACATGAAAACCACTGCTTCATGACATCACAAGGTGGAACAGAGCTTATGGAGCTTTGGAGATGTAGACAGAATAATAATTAAAGGATTACTCAAACACGTGTGAATGAAAACAAAACACAACTCCAGGTTTGTTTTTGATGAGGTAACAAGATTATAACATGACTTAAAGCTCACAAGAGTTAATTTTTTGTGTAATATTGGACTGTAAACTTGTGTATCTCTTTGTAGAAAAGTGGGGGATCACCTATGCCATGTCAGTGCACTCTGAGTAGAAATGTATGTTTTTCAAAGTATTCTTTAAATGTAACCTACACTCATGATGCAATAAGATAAGTTAATGCTATACCGTGGAACATTGCAGGCAAAGCAGTAATATCTCCGTTGCACTAGAAAAAGAAAAGTGGTGCATTTTTAAAAAGGAGATATTCAGCAAAATTGACTTTCTGATGCTTTCTACCATGTTGTAATGTTGTTCTTTCATCAAAAACAGATGTCATCCATGCATGTTTGAATAATTTAGTGATCTCTCCCAGGCCCTAGTCGAACCCTTCGTATGGTGAGCAGTAAGATTTTGTCCAATGCTCTGCCCACAAGACTACGTCACCCTTACCCACATGGCAATTCTCCATAAATATACAAAAACATGACACAAAACAACACGCTACAACTTCACAAACCTGATGCGATGTGCAAGTTTCATTAGTGAAATACCGATTGTGTTGTAATAGTACTCTGAAGGGGGAGTGACTGAGTGTGGAGAGCAAAAGGAGAGGAAACTCAGTGTCAAAAACAAAAGTGAAAGTTGTTAAACTTCTTAATACATTGCATGTGTAAACAGTTAATACCCCATAGAAATGTAACTAAACTAAACTCTTTAAACTTAAATCATTAAAATCCAAGAATATTTGCTTTTCTTTTTACTTTTTCACTGGGGTGCTCTCAAAATCCCATGTGTGGTCTTTGCTGACATAAAACCTAACTTTCTCACGCTGTCAGTGATCATAATAATGATTGCAATAAACTGGATTTTATATTTTTATAGGCTCGATAAATATTTCACTGCAGTGGAAATGTCCAGTCGGGGCACCTGTAGTTGTGTTTTTGATTGGTCAGATTTCATAAACGCTGTACATTTGGCTTGTTAAATGTCTGAACGTGTGTGTTTATGTGTGTGTTTGTGTTGCAGGCTCCTCGTGGGAAAAGTCCATCAGACAGATCGGCTTTGAGAGGTAAAGCTCATATACATTTGTACTAGTATATACCTCATGTGTGTGTGTTTATGTGTGTGTGAAAAGTAGGGCTCATACACATGTACTAGTATATACCTCATGCGTGTCAATGTGTGTGTGAAAGGTGAGGCTCATAAACATGTGTACTAGTATATACCTCGTGTATGTGCTCCCTTGTGTGTTTGTGCTTATGTGTGTGTGATCTGGATCCATATTTATCGCTTTGTCAAAGGTGAACGCAGAGCATGTGTCTGATGGTGATAAGCAACTACAGTAGTCACAGCTGCCCTGAGACAGACTGACACCCTGTGACCACCACCAGCTCACCTCACACACCATTTTTATTCTAGGCAATGTGGGTTAAGTATGTTGTTAGGTTCTCGTAAAGCAGGAAAAAGGATGGCAGAGGCACTCTAATTTGCAGTGAATTTATTAATAGTCACGCCAACTTGTTTCGACTACTTAGTCTTCATCAGGGCGTTTAGGGCCTATCCTTTTTCCTGCTTTATGAGAATTTAAGTCCTCCGGTTTGATGAGCACCTGTATGCGTAAGTTTTTTGATCCAGTGTAGCGCTCCAATTTTGTTATTTTTATGTTATTAGGATCTTTTTTCAGACCAAGAGTTTGTTTTCATACCTGACAATTTTGACTGTTCCCTGTGCTCTTCCTCAGAGTGGTCACGTGATGTTGCTGTGGCATGTCTGGTCAGCTGATTTATTTAGGTTTTGGCGCTGTCCTACCGATGGAGGCAGGATGACATAAATATATAATATCTATATGTGTAAATCAGCTGACCGGACATGTCAGAGCAACATCACGTGACCACTCTGAGGAAGAGCACTAGTGAGCAGTCAGGTATGAAACAAAAAACACTTGGTCTAAAAAAAAAGAAGCTAATAACATAAAATATCTGAAGAACCTCATTGGACTATGTGGGTGAAGTGTCTTCCGTAAGGACACAACAACAGTGTTTGCCGCTGCTGCCTCACTTTGGCACCTGCCACAAGTAACTCCCGTCCAAGTACCCAGGCCCTGCACTGCTGATCTTCTGAGATCTGAGGTCAGGCTTTGATAAACTGGGATGGCCGGGCTGTCAGAGGAGTATATTTTATAGTTAGAAGACTAAACTTCTTTTCTCCTCTTTTTGTTCTGCTGTAAGAGGAAAACTATTGTGCCAAGGTGACTTAAGCTGCACAACTGACCACACACATTATGTCAGCCATAAATTTAATTTCAGTTCTATTTAAAGAAAAGCACTTTACACTGTTATAAGAGGAAACAGAAATGTGTGGATTTGAACTGCAGGATTCATCATAAATCACAGTTTAAAAAAATATATATATATCATAATTATATTTTTTTTAAATTGAGACATTGACAGGTAAAGACATGATAGGTGAAAAGTGTGTCATTTGTGCACATGGTGAGTTTTGGGCTTGTGTGTATCTGCTCATAGTGGAATCTGACCAGCTCTGTTACCACTGATAATACTACACTGGACACACCATCGCTCTATTTGACTCTACTCTCCTTCCTTCTCTCCCCTCTTCTTCCTCTCTCTATCCTATCCTCTCTCTCTCTTCTTTGTCACCCTCTTCTCTCGCTCTCTGTCTTTCCTCTCCCCTCGTCTTCCATTTCTCACACTCCTCTGTCCTCCTCCCTCTCTCTCCTGTGCAGTCCTCTCTTCTCCTCTCTCTTCCCTCTCTCCTGTGCCCTCTCCTCTCCCTCTATTCTCTCTCTCCCTCTCTCTGTGTATGATCATATTAGCTGTGGTCTGGTGCCTACGGGAATGCCCGCTGTGGGCCCTGTACATTTTCCAGTACTCAGGCTGCTCCTCGTATAGAACTGTAAGTGGCGGAAGTCCAGCAGTAAACATTTTATCCCTTTGGCTTTCACCTTTTGTTTTCGTTACGATGCGTTCACTGTCCATACGTTATTTACAGTTATTTGTACAGCTACAAACATGGACGCCGGATGTTTGACTCCAGTCTCGGGCGTCTACAGTTGAAATCTCAGTGCACAGCTGTTGTTGTTACTGTGACTAATACCAGGCAGTTCAAAATGTTATTTCAAAAACCACAAATATTTATTCAATTTGATGCTTTGTGTGTGTGGGTGATGAAAAATGAGGGCGGTTGCCATAGCGATTAACAATTGCTCCAGAGTCTTCAGATTGGCACATATAAACAGGAAACCAACCAAAATACTGACATTTCAAACTAAATGTCAATACTAAGGGAAAGGCTTTTCACACTTTCTATTTCAATAATAGTAGTTTTATTATTATTTAATTGTTTTAAAGGTCTTATATTTCACAGAATTGACTCTTGTGAGCTTTAAAACATGTTATAATGTTGTTACCTCCTCAAAAACCTATCTGGAGTTGTGTTTTGTTTTGGTTCACACATGTTTGAGTAATCAAAGTTTTTCAGTGTGTGTACATCTTCAGAGCTCAAAATGCTCCGTTCCACCTTGTGATGTCACGAAGTGGTAGTTTTCAAGTCAACAGCTACAGCTAGAGAAGAGCTCAGTCGTAAATATACAGGGTTTGTGAGTTAAACATGTGTGAATGAAACAAAACACAACTCCAGGTCTGTTTTTGAGGAGGAAACAACATTGTAACTTAGATCATTTAGAAAACATTATTGGTTGAGCGGCCAGATCCACCGACTCACAGGTTGGCGATGTGATTCCAGCTCCTCACAAATGAATGCTGTTTTTGTGTCCTTGGGCAAGACAGTTGACCCACCTAGTGTCTTTGAACTCTGGTGTATGAATGTTTGTGTGAATGTGTGAATATGTGAGTGGTTCCTTCACGTAAATCTCTTTTTAGTGTGGTGAAGTTGGACAAACATTAGATAAAAATGTGACCAAAAATATATATATTTTTTTTACACTACCGGTCAAAAGTTTTAGAACACCGTAATTTTTCCAGTTATTTATTGCAATTCAAGTCGTACAAGTCCGATGAAGAGCTTGAAATGGTACAAAGGTAAGAACTGAACAGCCAAAGGTTAAAAAAAAGATAAAAGAACGACTTCAACAGAGCGAAACCGTCACGACAGAGGACTGGATTTCAAACAAGTATGATATTCTTGCGACTTGCGAATGCCGATCGGGAGCTGGTCGTGAGGTATTAATCAGTTCTCTTTACCCCTTGTTACTACACGAAGCATGACACACGATGAAGCCAAAACAAAAATAGTCGCATGAGTGAAAAATCGGCTCAAAAACTGTCAAAAATCGCACAGTGTATGCCCGGCTTAAGTCTATAATGAGTTGGTTTGGGTTAGGGATAGGCATGATTAATCGATTAATCGATAATTGATCATTAAGAATTTCATCGATTACGTTCATTTTAATCGACAAACTGAATGTAGGTTGCTGTGCGTAGCGTCACCAAACAGGGGTCCGTACATGTGTCTCTCTGCACTCAGAAGGAGCGAGACACAAACAGTCGGTCAGTCTGCAGCGTGCCGAAGCACAAATGTGTATTTAACGATGATTTGTACAAGAAATTCCACACTTTCCGTTGCGTTCGGGACAAGTGTGAGTCCATGTGCACAGTGTATAAAGCAGGAACATATGTTTCGGTGTCCAGTGCGAAAAACCTTTACCAGGTGAGAGTCGCGCAATGTCGATGACGAGTCCCCACCTCCCTCCCCCCGTACGGTGTCCTGGTTTTGACAAACGCAAATCTGGTCACACTAACCTGTATTCAGCTGAATCATGTCTTTTAATCCGACAGAAATTGACCACATCAGCGACACAAGAGCTGTATTTTTATCTTCGCTGAGTTTATGCAAATTAGCGATGCGGTTTTAAGTTTCGTTTCTGTGAGAGTTGCGCAAAACTGAATTAAACACATTATAATCTGAAACGGATTGATGTGGCTCTAGAGTCGTTACGGTTTATATGTCGTAAAGTTGAATTTATTTATGCAGATTAGTAGTGCAGATAGTAATAATAATGATGATCATTTTAATATAAACGATCACGATATGTTTTGGTCAACAGTACAGTCTGAGATATTTTGTTATTTTCTATTTTATTTTGACATGTACATACACACTTTTATACTTATTTGACCCCAGTCTCTTGCTATCTTTTATGCTATTTATTTAGAATTTATTATTACCATTTATATTTTTTGCGCTTTGTTATTATATTGTATTGTGATGTGTGAGCTACTGTGTCCAAATAATTTCCCTTGTGGATCAATAAAGTCTAAATCTGAGTTCTGTATGTATATAGAAAGCACTTAACAACATATATATTTACAGCACCAAGAGTAATTTAACTTTTTTTTCTTTTCTACATAATTTCATATAACTTCTGTGTGTATATCAAATGTAGAAAATAGTAAACATATAGAAACAAAACACTGAATGAGGGGCTGAGTCCAAACTTTTGACTGGTAGTGTAAAATTTGTAAAATTGTTGAGAATTTCTTCAGCTATTTTACGATGTTCTTTCACCAGCATAACAGATTAATATTGGTGTTTTGATGGAGCTAGTGTCGTTTCCTTGTGTACATAATCTGAGGTCTGCAGTTTCGCAACCTTTCACTGTTTGAAATGATTTTTATTTGGACTTTTATTGAAAGGTGGTGGTTTATAACATGCACAAAGCTGTAATCAAGACATGCCCGCTTTATCTCAGCACTTTTTATTAGATCAGGAAACTCCCATTGAAGTTTTAAAGAGATTCCTGCTTTTGTTTGGGAGACACTGGTTTGTAGGTGGCAGGGGAAACCCGTCTCACCACGATTTACATCATATCACGGACAGTGGAAGGTAATGAAGTACATGTAGTAAAAGTACTGCACCCATATTACAGGGCCCATATTACACTGTTTTCTGATCTCTGTTGTAATGTTGTTTGCTCATCAAAAATATACCTGGAGTTGTGTTTTGTTTCATTCACACATGTTTAACTCACAAACCCTCCATATTTAGGCTGAGTTTTTCTCTCAAATGGAAAGCTCCACCCTGTGATGT